CTCTCTCTCTCTCTCTCTCTCTCTCTCTCTCTCTCTCTCTCTCCTCCCCCTCTCTCCCTCCCTCTCTCCCTCCCTCCACCTCTCTCTCTCCTCTCTTCTATTTTCTCTCTCTATATCCGTATATAATTTTTCCTTTTTTACATTTGGCAATAATACATAAAAATCGCGTGTACACAAAAATCTTGCATTATTTACACACATTTGTATATATATATGTGTGTGTATATATATGTACATATATATACATACATATAAACAAACATAGATGTATCTGCAACGACACATACTGCACCGACATTAATCGGTGAAGATGTATGGAATGCAATTTTTGAAATGTTAATCTTTACGAATTCTTTATATTCTTCAATTCTATATATTGTATCTTTCACGAAAGTATTAAATATATGTATAATGATTATACTTTTCAGTCATTCTCTATTGTTCTTGATCGTAAGTTTTGCGGTCGAAAAGGTTGCATCCATATTCAGCGTTGAAATCTCCGGCATTGGAATCTAACGTCTTTAGCATTAAAATCACCAGTACTTGATACAATCAGTATTACTATTGCTCTTACTGTTACTATACTAAGGTTACTACTGTTTATTATTGCTAATACTGTTACTATTGCCATTAATATTATTATTTTATTTGTTATTATTATTACATACACTGAAGAATGAAACATTTGTTCGATCCGCCATTCAGAGAGAGAGAGAGAGAGAGAGAGAATTATAGCCGAACCTCAATTCTCAATGACGTATATATATATATATATATCCACACAGCATGCAATATTGCAGAAATATTACAGTAATATTACAATATTGTATTAATATTGCAATAGGAATAAAATATTAAGGATATATTATTGAGATATTACATTGCGATATATAACAGTATAATATTGTGTGCAGTAGTATTACTATAATATTACAACACAATATATCATTATGTAATATTTCTGTAATATTGTATTATATTGGAGTGCGATAAATGACTAAGATATATTACTACAATATTTCACAAATATTACTATGTTATGTATTGCAATATATTATTAAAGCCGGTCTACAATATGTTTCAAACAGTATTGCAGGTTGCAAGTCTCAGGAAATAGACCAATCACAGTCGCATGTTAGGTAAATAATTATTGTCATTAGTCAATTTCAGGGTTGGGAAGTAACGCGTTACTTGTAACGACGTTACTATTTCGTTACTTTTTTTTTTGTAACGATTTGGTAACGCCGTTACTTTTTTGTATCAGTAACGAAAAAGTAACGGCGTTACATTTTCTTTAGTAACGAGTAACGAAATTCATCGTTAATTGTATCGTTACTTTTTTACTATAGTGACTTTTGTACACAGAACGCGGCAACACTTGCCACGCGACGAAAGTTTGCACACGATAAACAATTAATATGCTTTTCATAAAGCCCATTCTACAATAAGCAATAAATCTTAAGTTATAACAGAATTGACCAATCATAGTCGACTATTAGAAGAATAATCCACTGTAATTGGTCAATTTTATTGCAACTTAAAACTTATTGCTTATTGTAGAAAGCCTCTAAAACGTGGTCTACAATGAGAACTTAAGCCTTAACATTTAAGCTTTAAACTCTAAGCCGTCAGATAATGCGTATCGGTTTCGCCAGTGATCACGCTTTTTTGCAACAAAAGGAACGATAAATTGTAACACGTGTCTCACGCGTGTCACGTAAAAATTTGATAATGTTTTCGTGAGAAATAATTCGCGAACATCACGAACTATATAGTTCTCTGCGGATATAAATATAGAGTTGCGCGCACAACGTTGGTCAAACGCTCGTTTGATTGAGAAAAATAAGAATCGTCATGTCTTGGACGTTTTTCGCTCTTTTGCTAGCCACTGTATTTCTCGTGGCGGTCAAATTGATCAGTCACAGTCAATTATTTTTCTTAGAATTGACTGTAATTGGTCAACTTCTTACGACTTAGGACTTAAAGCTTAAATTTTATGTCTTAAGTTCTCATTGTAGACCACGCTTAACCCTTTGCGACATATATTTCTCTATCAAATTAATTTCACAGATAAATGTACCTTTAGGGGTTTTTGGTAATCGCTGATTACGAATCCGAAGCCAGATTTTCAAATTTAAAATGGCGGATCCAATATGGCGGACGAATTTTAGAAAATTATAGTATTTGTATGAAACCTAGTATCTAATGTTTTTTGGTTCGCTGATTATGAATCTGATCTCAGATTGTCGAAATTCAAAATGACGGATCCAAAATGGTGGACAAACATGTTAAAAAGTGGATAAAATATCATGAAAATCATTACTCGACGGTTTTTAGGATCGTTAATTACGAATCAAATATCAAATTTTCAAAATTCAAAATGTTTGATCCAATACAGAAGACCAAGAAATAAAAGAATGTGTTTTAGGTCTTCAAAATTAGTTGGCGGAGATCTTTTTGGCAGCTGATTACGAATCTAAAATCAAGAGTAAATTTTTTTATCCAATGTAGTGTGCCAAACATGTAAAAAATGAGTCTTTTCAAAAGGTAGAAAATATTCTCTGGCTAAAATCTCGTTTTAGCGTTACCCAGAGCTAACGATGCTAATTTTGAAAATTTGATCAACGACCCAAAAACAGATACTAGGTTTCATACAAATACTATAATTTTCTAAAATTCGCCCGCCATACTGGATCTGCCATTTTAAATTTTGAATATCTGATTCCGGATTCGTAATTACCCACACAGCAGAGGTATCCAAAATATATCATAGAGACATCCTAAAGATATATTTGGGATATGTGATATCTTCAAGATATCCCTATGATGTATTTGAGACATTCCTGCTGTGTGGGTAGCGACCCAAGAAAC